GGGCGCTCCTGGCACAGTGAGTCCGCCGGGCCGCTTGCTGCCGCCCGCGGAGTCTCAGGAGGCGGCCCAGAGCCCTGGACTCGCTGCTGGAGTTTCTCTTAGCCGCTCTGGGGCGGGCGCGAGGACGGGTTGGACCCTAGAACGCGCGGGGCCACGGTGGACAAGGGCGCCTCTACGCAGTCCCCATTCCCAAGAGTCAGGTCCTCGGGCCGGACCCGATATTCCGGCTGCTCATCTTCCTCTGGGGCGCCCTGCTCATGCCACCTGCTGGGCTACCCAGCCTTTCTCCCGGGCCAGACCTCGGCTAAGTGGTGGAGCCATTAGTGGGCAGAAACCAGAACAGAGCGCCGAGCGATCCCCAAAGCCTCTTTCTGCAGCGCGGTTGCGAGACGGGAAGCGAGCGTGCACCGAGCAGGTAAAATAAGGAAATGAAAAAGTAACTTTAAAAAAATCCTTTTAAGAAAAATAATAAAAAGGACCAAGAAGAGCTACGGTCTCCAGGTGAGAGAGAGGGTGGTGCCTCCGTCCAGTTGGGATCCTCAAGGACTTTTGGGCTCAGGGAACTGTCCCTCGGCTTGCTGAGGCCGGTCGGTTCAGGCGGCCGCGGGGTTCCAGCCTGCATGGGGAGCGCAGTACCTCCAGCCCCTCTGCCTGAGCGCCTTCTCCCCTAACTTCTTGGAATCCGAGATCCCACCCCTCTCCTTACCGCGCGCCTCCCGTGTTTCTTGGGGTCCGCACCTCCATCTGTCCTCCCGGAGCACGTCCTGCGCCCCCCTCCCTGAGCTCCCCAGGCTTTGAGACTCGCGATTTGGTGAAAGGTCAGTCCAGAGAAGGAATAGCTCTCGCCGCGAGGAGCCCAGGCTGGACGGATTAAAGAAACTCAATTTAGGGGCCGCTGGAACCAGCACCCCCGGATGGTAAAGGGAGGGTCCTCGGTATTGTCTCGCTCTCTCGCCACTTGGGTCAGTTTTTATTTGTGAGCAGATACAGAAGGGCACCGTGACAGCACAGCCCCAGATTAAAGTCTCAGCGCATCCTCGGGCGAGTCCTGAGCGAGTGATGCAGGGAGTGGGGGTAGGTTTCCCTGCAGAAGGGTAAGGACAGGCGTGGACGTGGCCAGGTGGACGCAGAGGCCGGAGGTCTATCCTGACCGCGATTTGGAGCGTCAGCTCAGAACTGTAGGTAGCAGCCGCAGGCGAGCTTTGCGCGGTAACCGCTTGGCGTGGCTGGGGGAACCAGTCATAGAACCGGCTGCGCCCGCCAGGAACCCCAACCGGCCCGCTCCCAGGTGCTCCGGGCCTGGACAAGGCAGGTAGGGGCCGAGGAAATAAAACAAACAAACAAACAAACACAAAACGCACCGTGCAGCCCCACCGCGCCCTCGCTGCCCGCTCTAGCAACCCGATGAACACTTTAAAAAACAAAGGCAGGAGGAAAGCAACCTATTAGGTGCTTTTATCTGGCACACAGCCTGGAGGTCGGCCAGAAGGCGGCTGTTTAGTTCACCCAGACTGTGCTTGGGGAGTTTGGGCGAGGGCGCCGGTGGCCGGGAGCCCTTCCCGCCCAGTCCCGCAGCAACCAGCGGTCCTCCTGAAACCGGCCAGAGGAGGGGCAGCGAGAGAAGGGTGTTCGGCCCGGATGGCGCCCTTGCGGACACGGGCGGAGCGGTGCCTGCTCCACGACTCGTGGAGCGGGAGGACGGAGGATGACCGGAACAGAAAGGGCCGCGGGCACCTGAGACACGGGGAATCCGGCCCTCACCAGGCACCTGGGAGTTGCCAGGGTGTTCTCTCCAAATTCCGAAACCTACTTACTGTGGTGCATTGCCCGCTCGGCCACCCCACCCTTCGCAAGCCTCAAGATAGCCTTCGCGTCGCTTCATTTCTTTATTAAACGTGGAACCTGCGCTTCTCGAGAACATAGTACAGTTGCCCTTGGTGAAAACGTTTTCCGCGCGCTGCTACCGCTGAGCCGGTGCTCGGAGCGCCCAGCGCAGGCTCCCGTCAGCCGCACTTTTCCTCGCGGAGCCCGGGAGGCTCTGACTCACTGGAGCAGCTTTGCTCGCTGAGCTGAACTTCTGCCCGCGCGTGTTTGATTTCCGCGCTTTGATTTTTTTTCTACTCAGCACCACGGTTTTTCAAAATCACTGGGAATCTTAGGCACCGCTGCCAGCGGGAGACCTTGGGTTGCACCAGCCGTGGGGGAACCCCCGAAGCTGGAGAGGTGGCATGGGTGGTCGGGTAACAGGGAGAGGGCGCAGCACTGTGTGCACCCCCTTTCAGACAGCCCGGGGAGTCTCGCCAGCCTTGCCGGGACTGGGCTCCGTGGCCCGGCCTCTGCTCCGGCTCAGAGAGTCAGAGAAGCAGTGTGGGTGGCAAGTGAACCACTAATCCTGCCCCTGCATCCGCTACAACCTGGCTCTGGGTGTGGGCCCCCTAGAGCGCGCCCTTTCCTGGGCCTGGGGCCACTGCAGAGCAGGGTAGAGGGCTGAGGTGGCCCAGGGGCTGGATTGCGGTGCAGATGGGTGTGCGGAATGGTAAAGGCAGAGATCACCCTCAGGGCATCATCCTTCACGGGGTCACACAAGTCCAGCAACTGCAAAACGGGACACAAAGGAACAGGTCAGATGCTGGCTCACTCACAGTGGCTGGACGCCCACCCCCAGCAGCCGGATTTCCAGGGACCAGGAGGTAAATACCTTCGATTTTGAATAAGTCTTACAACTTGTTCACAAGCCTTTTTCATCTTAGGAATTCTTAACTCGGTGACACCTAGTCTGGCAGAAGCCCACTTATTCCTTAAAAGGGCGGGGGTGGACTCCAAATCAGCTGGGAGCTCCAGACCAGAGACTGAC